CGTGTGTGTGTGTGTGTGTGTGTGTGTGTGTGTGTGTGTGTGTGTGTGTGTGTGTGTGTGTGTGTGTGAACTCTCAAGCCATTTTAGCGGCAAAACCACCGGAGTCCCAACACACTGTACACCCCCACAGCCTGGAGCTGTGGATAGTCAGAAACTAAAGTTCCCATCAGTTGAGCTCTCCAGCTGAGACATCACAAGCTTGATCCTTGCAACAATCATCAGCAGTAATGTGTCACGGCCAAGTGTCCTTGAGGGAAGAAAGCTGAACCTTAATCTGCTCACTCTAAGCTGGCACAAGCCATTGTGTGTGTGAGAAAATCAAAGTGAAAGAGTATAATGTCAATAGTAAGTGTAGGAGTGATGGTGGGGGTAGTCGTTGATTGATAGCTGTGTTTAATCTATTCCATTACACTGTCTAATAGCCTGTGGGAAGACTTGTGTGTACAGTAAACCGTGATGAAAGTGTAAACGGGAAGGACCATATTGGCGTGCTAGGATGACTACAGCACGCTTTTTTTTAGTTGAATGTCTGCCAAATTACGACTTGGCTGTAGTGATGAAACTGATCCACACGCCGCATATTGCGTCCTGAATATTAGAAACATTCTTGTCATCAGTGAATGCTAAGAAGTCATTTGCACAGAAGCACATTAAGATTCCGATCAAATTATACAGCTTATTAGTCATTTTCAACGTTCAACTTCTTTTTTTCTCCCGCACCGTGGTGCAGCACCGACCCTTCAGCTCGCTGAGGGTTTTCATCACGCCGGGCGTTGCTTTCAGCGCGCCGGCAAATGGATCACAGTTCAATTAAAGCCCCAAGGTCACACGATTCCCCGCGTCACACAGAAAGCCTCGTCCTGGACCTATTTGTCTTTCTTAGAAGCTCATGTATAATGCTGTCGGATATAAAAGACAGATTGGTCAAAGCGTCGAGAGGCTCGACAGGCTGTGTCTTCATTAGAATTTGTCCTTCAATCAGCTAAATCAATGAAAGGAACTAATCAGAGAGGGGACAAGCTGCACACTTGATTTCACTTATTGAGGGTTACGATGGCTCACCGTATGGCTCTATGGGAGTACGGCATGATGTGACCATTCAGCGGTGTCATAGATCCACTAATTAGGACAGAGGCAGAGTGAATTCACACAAGTTGCTGGATGTGAATAATTAAGTGCTGCGAGCATGCACTTCTCTCCTTTGATGTGATTTTTTCCCCCTTTGAAGAAAGTCCCACCATAAGCATGCTTCCCCCCCCCCCCCCCCCCCCCCAAAAAAAAGCCATTTATATCTGCTCCTTGTTAAAATATTAATCTGGTATGACTCACCACATTTACTCAGTCCTCAGTTAAATGTATGGACTGTTATTAAGGGGAGATCCACATCTCCATGTTTATGTTTACTGCCTCTGCATGGAGGAAAACATTCTGCCTGTCAAGTTAAAAGAACGTCCATTTTAAATGAAATGCTGAGGTTCCTTATTTTCTGGAATCCACAAAAAGAGTTTCCATAATGATATCTAACAGTTATATTTATGGTCAAAGCATTGTTGATGTAGTCGAGATTCATTATCTTTTGAGCTTTTCTTTTTTTCTCTCTTTTTACAGGATTGTGTGGAGTTTTTATAAGCAGACAGTGGCTGGAATGATTGTAGTTTGAACCTTAAGGAGATATTTTCATGAAGGAGCCGAGACAACACAGAATGAAGTTCGTTCAAAAGCCATTTCTCTGCTCTCTAAGGCCACGTGCACATGTTGGAAAAATATGGGTACACACCACCTCAGTTTCAGAGTAAACATCCTGTTTATTCTTTGGCATCCCAAGCCTGTAGGTGGCAGAATTTCCCCAAGTCTTCAGCGTCTTTGGCGGACATGTGTGGTCATCTACATTAAGGAGGTATTAAACGTGTAAAAACAAGTGAGTCTAAACACACGTCTCACACGTTATGGTAAAAGGTAAATGCCCTGGATTCTACAGCCCCCCAAGGTGCATTGCAGCACAGACAGTCTTTCACCCATGCACACACAAATACGCTGGTGGTGATGAGCTACAATGTAGCCACAGCTAACCTGGGGCACACAGACTGAAGCACGGCTGCAGAGCACCGGCGCCACCGGTCCCCCTCATCACCATAAGCTGGGTCAAGTGTCTTGCCCAAGGACACAATGACTTCAACAGACGAGGCTCGGTCCTGCAACCCTTCTGCCACCATCATCTGTTGTCAAAGCATTTTTGTCGCTGGCGGTGACGATGCAGAACCTAAATCCCTGGTTATTTATGTCGTTTTTTTTAAAGAATTGTTTTGGTACTATAAGTCTTCTCATTCATCTGGTTGACATGGCAACCTGTTAGATACATTTGTGTTTTGTACCCTGGTCTGTGAGTACAGGGCCTAAAACATGTCAAAAGCAGTTTTTTATGTAGGTTTTTTTTGTGCTTTTGTCCATTTTGCCTTAAACATGTAATCATATTGTTACTATTTTCTCAATAGAACAACATCAACGTGATGATCAGAAGCTGCTCACTGTATCCTCACATTGAAATAATCCCCCAAAGGGAGAGCCTTTGGTTGCAGCACTCCAAAGAGACATAAAATAAAAAATTATCAGTGAGATACAAATACAACATTGCAACAGTGATAATAACAATAACAAAAAAGGAAGAAACAAATAGCTCCAGGGAATGTGTCAGGTAAATAGTAAATGATAAACTGTTACACTCGAGCTAGCACATCATATCGCTCATTAGCTGTGGCTCACACTTTCAGTGATCTGTTTATCCTTTATCAACATGGTGCTGAATGACTGGCAGCTTGGAACAGCAGCTCTCTAATGTTTTTGTGTTTGTTTAGCCTTGAAATAAATGTTTTCTCTCGTTCCTTTGAAACAATTTTCCTCAGGGATCAATATAGTAGCAATCGATCTAATCCCCCAAAATAGTAAGCGTGAGTAATTACAAAAAAGCAAAATTTACATGAATTATCCTTGGGAGATAAGATGATTTTTTTTTATTGAAGCAGACCTACTGAGGAAATAAGTTGTGATTAGAAATAACTAAACTGAACGGAGCCAATCAGCCGCAGGAGCAGCCTCCGTACACGCATTAACCCATTAGCCTGGCAAGCCAGACTAAATAAATATATAATTTAGTCTGTCCACCATTGTGGACCAGTCACAATCAGCCTTAGCTGCAGTTTAAATTTCAGGTATACTTTTTGGATTTTGAAGTTCAGTATGAAAATTAATTTGTACATGCCCCTGAAATACATATGGATTAAATGCATGGCACTGTCATTATTTTTTTCAGGCACATTTTGAGTCTTTCAGTATAAGTTGAATAGAGTTTTAATTAAGGAACTTTCTCTGAAATACATTGGGAATAAATGCATAGCACAGCGAAGCTGCTTGTGTCCATTAAAAATGATTTGTGATCCAATTTAGGTTTCTTGCAAACAATAAAAAGATCTTTAAAAAGTCAACACAATAGGGCAGAAAACAATAATCGTTGACCAAAATATGTTTTTAGTATCTGCCTTGCAAGCATGTTTTTAACTGACATGCATTTCTGCCATTTCTAAAAGCCAACCTATCCTGCATGTTGTGGAGGGGATTTGTATGATGGCATTGATCTTGCCATGCATACGTGGGGTTCCTCCAGGTGCTCTGGATTCCTCCCACAGGCCAAAACATGCATGCTAGGTTGATACTTTAAATTGTCCTTTGGTGTGTTAGGGTCAGTAGAAAGCTCCTTTCTTGTCTGGATCATCTCCAGCTAGCAGACCTTAATTTCCTGTTTCTTCACTTCCAGAGATGGGAGACTGGTAATACAAAGTTCCTGATACACTTCCAAAAATGACCCTTCTTCTCTAGGTTGGTTTTAAATTGGTTTATAAAGAAAATGGTACAAACAAGACAATGTGACCCCCTGAAGCCACCCCTCATGGTCATCAGTCAGAAGGCCTCAAATGCTTTAGGACATTAGTTTTTGTCTTTAGCTTGGCCCTCCTCATTTGATGACATGGTACATTTCTGTTGGATCAGTGCATGGAAATTTGGCGAGATCTGTGTGTGTCACGAAACTTATCCTAAATAACAAGATGTGAAAATCATGAGTGTTGCTGCACCTGATTGTGTAAAGAACACACGCTCTGACAAACTTTCTGTACTGGACAAATACTCAACGGAGACATGACCTTAGCCATTCTCCACACCAAATAAATGATACATCAGGTGTTAGTGAGTGTGTGATTGGTGGCATTTTTCTGTATGTATGCTTTTGTCCCCCGATGCTCGTGTTGATACGCTGCACCACACCATTATTATGTTTCTCCTGAGAGGAGAAATAAATGCTATTTTCCACCTGAATGAGTGATCATTCATCATCATCATCATCATGTCAATGTTGACCAAAATAATCAGGACTTAGATTTTTTCTAATTGAGAGGTCCTTCTGTAAACGTAATACTAAAGGATTAAAATAGCGTTCTCACTGATTAGCTGAAAAATATAGTAGCCACAACTCTAAAGCTGCAAAACATGCTCACTCTCTTTACGGAGAGACTAAAATGTCATGTTTGAACCTTGCAATGTCACGTAGTTTACTCAACAAAAGTACTGAAGGCTGGAGTTTTTGGAAATCCTCATTTGACGCAAATCCAGCTTTTTTTCTGCATGCTTTTTTAAATCCATCCATGTTTTAATTTTTTTAGATTTTTCTTGTTGATTATTATGGAGGATCAGCGATTCCCTGAACTAAAATGTTCCATTTTCCTTTTATTACCTTTAGCAGACAAACAAGTTTATTAACGTAAACCTTTCACCATCAAACTAAATATTTTAGCCGGGCTAAAAAAAAATGTGTATTGCCTTTAGAACCAATCCTGACGTTGGTCTTTCTTATCTCATCCCAACAGTTAAATAGCAAGTCCAGTGAAGCTCTCACACCGTCGGGCTCCGGTTTGGCTTTCACACCCGCAAATAACTGCTGCTTTGTTTCTCAGGCATCCTTTACAAAGGGAGTGGAGAGAACCAGTTCATCTCCCTCCAGCCTCCTGTGATTTCCACTGTGATGGGGAACGGGCGGCGCAGGAGCATTTCCTGTCCCAGCTGCAATGGACAGGCCCAGGGCAACAAGCTGCTGGCGCCAGTTGCTCTGGCCTGGGGCATCGACGGGAGTCTCTATGTCGGAGATTTCAACTTCATCCGCCGCATCTACCCATCTGGAAATGTGACAAGTATCATGGAGCTGAGGTAAAAACAAGGCCTTCCTGTTTGGAATATTTTAAGCTTAAAATTTGTTTGTTTAAACCACGGGATTCTTATTGTTATATTAACCTATCAGGAAGTGTTTTAAAATCATATTAACACCACACGGTACAATGAACCTGCAATGCTCTTCAGCTGACCCCCAGAAAATGTGGAGACGTGAAGAATCCGACTTCTGTTTACCACATTAGGCATTCAGCATGATGAGGGAAAACTAGAATGGCACAGTGAGCTGACTTTAATTCACACACATCTTCCCACTCCCCATAGAAATTTGAAATCTTTTTCCCTATCCATCTCCATAATTAGGAAAGACATCCTGTCTTCAGCATGTAATTGGGATGATTTACGCCCTCATGCCAAGTTGGCTTCTTTCTGCCATGACTCTGATTCGGCCAGTTGGCTTATTTCAGTGGCAGATGTTGATTAAATGTACATTGGGCCGCCATCCTCCATGAGACGTGTACATGACAAAAACACGAAAACCGCCTTAAAATGATGGAGGTCATCACACTTGGCAGCCATTCAACCGTCAAGTGGTTTTGTAAGATAATATCAGGATTACGAGGGTGGATGTTGAGAAAAAAAATCTAAATTGGGGGAAACATGCTAATCCACCCTGGAAATCTGCTAACGCACCTGCTCAGGCATCAGCTGCTGTAGGGGCTTGCTATAAAAAATCGGCATGCATGCTCAGCAGCTTTGAACCTGATAAAAAAAAAGTTAAAGAAATATTCAAAAACATCAAGCATCCATTTTCTTTGTTTACAAAAAGCAGAGAGGAATGAATTCCAACCCTTTTCTGTTGATTGCAGGAAAACATGGTGGTAAAAGTACAGTTTTTGACTGGACTATTATTTCAGAAACATTGTTTTAGTGTTTGATATAAATCCTTCAAACACTCATGCAGGTGATTTTAGATTTTTTTTTTTTTTTTGCTACCAAGCCTCCTTGTACAAATAAAATCCTCTGAACCTCTTTCCACTGCTGTTAGCGTTAAGCCGGTGTTTATATTCTGGCTTCAGTGGTCAGTGTAGCAAGTGGCAGAATCAATATTTCAATACGAGTGGTCAAATTGAGAATAGCAGTGGTGATGCCGGATGGCGCCTCATGAACACAGGAGGACATGTTTTCCTCTCTGTGGGTTATAACTTCCACCACTACACAATCTGCCAAACACACTGTCACCGGGTGTGACCTTCACTGCTGGCTGTGTTGATTCTTCAAGGGGACAACTTTGACTTTCTGAGTTTCTTCACTCAACTCTTAAGAAAAAAATAAGCTTATTTTTCTTTGATCTTGTATTTTTTTCCATTTCCATCACAGGATTTGCTGACTCCTTGTGATTTTCGTAGTGAAACATAAATAATAAAGGGGTGTTTATCACGTCTTGTCAAAAATAAGTCATCCAACTGACAAAATAAATGGGCAAATAATAGCCTTGAAAATAAAAAAGTCAAAGTTTCCCCTCGAGATCTATCAAATTGATTGTCTGTATTCTTTTTTTTTTTTGTTTCTCTTTTCCTGCTTCCATTGTATCCTGTCATAGAAATAAAGACTTTAGACACAGGTAGGTGTTTCACGTCAGTGCCTGTCTTCCATGTTCTTCCTGCACACTTGTGTTTTTAAATACACAAAAAACTGCTTTTACAGTTGATAAAGCACCATTGATTGCCTTTTGTAATTACAGCAAATCAGCAATAGCTTGATTACATCTACACAAGAAGAAGCGATTAGGAACTTTTTAGAATTAGTACATCTGCTTTTGTGTAAAACATGCGTTGGGAGCTTTTGAAGGAAAAAAAAACATGCAAAGAAACTCCAAGATGCCGCACAGTCAAACAGCAGAGCTCTGCAGTAAACTTCAGTATCATTGCAAAGCTTATAATTACATTTCTAGTGATGGTGTTTGGCAGATGTTCTCATCCGGAGGGGCTTACACAACTGCTTTGTATTCATGAATATGGCAACAGCGCTGTATCGAGTGAAGATGCATATTGGTGGCAATTAGCTTGTCCAAGTGATTAGCATGACAAGTGCGAGAGGTGCTTCAGACAGCAAACTGCAGGAACTTTATTAAGCTGGCTGTCAAAGCAAGGCCTCCGGTGCGATGACCAGATTAAAAGAAACCGATAAGTGACCTTTTGTGCGAAGTTCAAATTTAATTTGTCCGATTCACGCGGTGAATTCAGATTTCCTTGTCATTTCAAACAGTCGGCTAAATGAAAAGGGCACGTGCCCTGGCAGATTCAACACAATGTCTTGTTAATAAGACACAAAGATCGTTTTTGTTTTTAAAAGGTGGAATGAAATTCTGAAGCTGTAGCTGCAGAGTGTTGAACCGCACATGGGCAACAACCAGAGGCCAGTGAAGGGAGCATGGAGGCAGAGTGACATATATCAGCTTGATACTTTGAGAGCTGCTGAATTCTGGATCAGTGAGCGGATTCTGAATCCCTGCAGGGCATTGCCTGCCACCAGGACTCTGCGACTGCTGACCAGGAGTTGACTGGCACCTGCTCTGACACCTGTGACAGGAATGGCCAAACTGTCGGGATGTAGTGGAAAGATGCAGAGAACTTTATGAAAAATGTGTTTTGTGACAACCCCAAAAAAAAGACTAAGTTATATATCAATCTGTTTTAACCTCGGTACCTGCACCTAGGTAATATTTATAACATAAATGTTTCATTGGATTGTAAAACACCAGTCCAGATGTCTCATTTATTATGTCCGCCCCCTGCAGCTCGACTGTAAAAGAATGGGTTACTTATGTTTGACTTGCTGAATCTTTTATAGGAGCTTGATAATATCCACCTATTTTGAACATTCACTTCGACTCATAAGGGCTGTCAAGTTTTATTACTACATCTTTATCATTTTACAAAGTTGTTTCATTGCCACATTTATTTTGCTGTCAAATTATTCACTCCCAGAGCCGGCGTAGTCTCGAGTGAGGTATGCTTCAGTAAAAACAGAAAAGCAATGTTTACGACTCCATTAAAGCAAGTTATTTTTATTGAAACACCGTTTCAAGCTCCTTAATTATCTTTGAATACCTGCTATGCTTTCATTCAGCCTTAATTTGATTGTTTTTAAATTTCTCAAGTTTGTTGAAATCTGGTGGAACGCACAATTATAAATTAATTAGTGTACTTCGTGGCTTTAAGCAGATAAATCAGTCATCTGTCGTAATATTTTTAGATGCCTGATCTGGGCTATATTTGTCCTGCATCCCTTTATTCGACAGTTGAATAATGCAAATAAATAAGCAGAAAGAGGTGCTATTAATTGTCACACTTTGTTAATATAAGCCAGTCACTTCTGTAATTTCCAGAGGCTTCTCCCCACAGGAGTCTGATAACAGATGAAGTGATCTGGCGCGTGAGTTGTCATTTCTGCTTTGCAAACTGGAACCCTACTGTGGTGGTATCCTGTTAAATTCAGTCTGAATCCCATCGTTCAACCTTCTGTTTTTCTACATCCGTACCCTCAAAGGCTGCAGCGTTCTCTTCCCTGCAACAAAAGAAGAAAATATTTCACAACATTAAACATTCAGAAATGATTTCCCTCTTAAGTTCATTATCCACGCACCTGACACCGCAGCTACTCATTTGAAGTTGTAATGAGGTCTGTATTTTAAGCAGCGATAAAAATTAAAACGTTGTTGCTCTTGATTAGTAATCCACACTGCATATTTCAGAAAATATTATTCTTAATGACTGCTGCATTTCCAAGAATGACTCTGGTTTGCTTTAGGTTAAATTAATAACATAACATTAAGGGGGATCACGGCATGCGTTTGTTTAATTTTACTATGCAATGATTTTTATTTTTCCCTGTTTTTGTGTGTTTTGCATGGCTCATTCGTGTTCTCCTGTTAACTTGAATAAAGTTTTAGAGGTTTTTGTCAGCTTGTTGAGACAAACCTAGCAGTAGCAAAAATATTTTGATCTGCAGGTCTGGCTAGCCACACTCCATTGTAGCCTCAGCGGGTCTACCGCTGGCTCGGCTAAGTTTAGGCCAGTCCAAACACAGAGCTCTATGTTGGTAGAGAGGCACTGGGCGGACCTAGCGCCAAAGATGTGATGAAGCAAAACAAAAAGGATGGCGACTGTTCAGGCACCAAGCTCGTTTAAGACAACGTTGACATCAGCTTTGGAGTATTTTCTTTGAGGTGTGAACAGATAGAAGTACTTAAAGGGAATTTTCAATCCTAGGTGAAATTTAGTGTGTTGCATTCTCCAAAGTTAGATAAGTGGGGAGAAAGCATTTTGTAATCAGCCCAGTCATTCTCCTAATCTGGCCATATTCGGTTAGCTTTATCTTAGCATAAACAATGCAAGTGAATGGTAACAATTAGCATTTCAATCATTCAAATTCAAAAAGACTCCTACTTGCATAAACACAAGTGTGTGGCTATAGGCTTAAACTTGGTACAGTTTTTTTGAAAGGAAAAGCATAATAAGTTGCACTAAAAACATCAGAGTACATGACAGATGATGTAGGTGTGTTTTGAGGCCGCTGCACCATGCAGTGGCCGCTTACAGGAGTGTGTTGTCATGATGTAAACCCAAGGCTAAATAGGCTCCTGTCATTCCTTCATGCTAGTTATTATTTTCATTTGTAGTCAATATCGTTACTGAGTTTAGCAAGAAAACTAAGGATCATTACTGAGTCGTTTTCAGGACTTTCTCACACAAAATGTTATCTACTTTGTTTATGCTAAGCTATAAAGCTAACTGAATACTACTAAATTAAAAGAATAACTGAGCTGGTTACAAAATATTTTTTCCCACTTATCTAAGTTTGGGGAATGTGGCAACAGATGAAATTTCACTTCGGAATGGAATCTCCTTGATCTAAAAAGTCCTTTTTGTTGAAAAAAGATGGTGGACTGCCCTGTTTTCTGTTTTCCATAGCAGTTAATGCATCACATTGTTTGTCACCCTGATTGGTCCTGGCACTGTTCAATGATGTACTGACGCCGTTTGAAAGACGACCGTAGATTCTGCCCCTATGACTGAGCTCTGGCTATGGGTTGTGGCCAGATATAGGATTGCTTACCAGACATGATTTTGTGCTATTTCCTAAAAATACGAGACAAATAAAATCCTTTTAGCACCATTTTATGTATCACAGTAGTTTTAATTTGACCAGATTGCAGATGTTTCCACCTTGGACTATATTTTAGCATGTTGCTCACACAATCACCTGCTAATAGGAGCAGACCTTGGCTATTTCCCGTATATAGCTTGGACTTGAAAGGCTCAAATCACCGTTACTTCACACTGTTAGAAGGTAATGTGTGTGATATTTACCTGACATAAATCATTCTGTGATCTTCACTGCTCTACAAGTTCTCAATGTCAATTTTAATGTTATGTATTTGATACTGGTGCAAAACTGTGAGTGTACAGAACAGATAATTGCACAGGCACAGATAGAAAAAGATAGAAAAAACACCTTCGAATAAAAAAGAGGGACTGAATAAGTTTTAGAGTGCATGCTGGAGCTTAAGTGTCCATTAAACAGACAACGAACCGCAAACTATTCAGGATTGGAGCTTTAAGCCTGCAGAGAACGTTCCCTTTTCTTGGTAACATCAATATTGTTTTTTATATTTTTTCTTCACATAATAAAATAGCTGTATGTATTTGTATATTGTCTGCATTCAAATGCGTGGTTTGTATGTATGTGTGCATGCATCGTTATGTCTGTGTGTATTTGTGGTTTTATGATTATATTTTCTTGAATTTTCCGAGACGTATTCTGTCTTGAGCGCTCTCAGTCCCAGATGGTTGAGGCTTAATTTTTACCAGCCCTCAGTTTGTGTTCGTATTGAAATTTAATTAAAAATATAATTGAAATGAAAAATACTTTAAAAACCCCAAAGGAAAAAAATAAAAATGTTGCAGTACATTGTTAATGAAAAAAGGAAATAAATAAGATTGAATAAAGGAGAGTAAATTGCACATTTTTTCTTGAAGGAGTGGTCTGGTCCTGGCTTAGAAAGACATTGTAAAAGGTTATTGCTTTAGACAGAAACGACCTGCTGTACTGGTTCTTATTGCAGTGGAGCTGAAGAGGTCTCTGAGTAATGCTACTCTGCTACAAGTAGTTTAGGGCGCATCACAGAGGTTGACGTATGAGATCACATCTTACAGATTGATTTATACCTTTAAATTGTCTAACTTTACTGTAAAGAAAAGAGAAAAATGTGGAAGAAGGCTGGAATTAGAATTTCTAATAAATTTCTGTCTTGAATGCAGCAACAACCCAGCACACCGGTATTACCTGGTGACTGATCCAGTCACCGGCCAGCTGTACATTTCGGACACAAACTCCCGACGGATCTACCGGCCGAAGGTCCTCAGTGGAACCAAGGACCTGCAGTCGAATGTGGAAGTGGTCGCGGGGAATGGTGAACATTGCCTCCCGTTTGATGAGAACCACTGTGGTGACGGAGGAAAAGCTCCCGAGGCCTCCCTCACCGGACCCAAAGGTATCATTTAAAATGAATGAAGATGTTATGTTCAATAGAGGGGTGGAACACAGAGATGGATTCCTCATTCACAAGTGGCACCTGCTAGATTTAAATTTATGCCTGCTTTGGGCTCTGCGCCAAATGATGGCTTACTCGTTTTAAATGAATTAATTTTGGTTCTCATGTTAAATTAAAAAGTAAACAGGGTCGTCTACTAAGAAAAACATGGGTATTTTAGAAATTTAAGCTATGTAATTGTCCAATTAATAAAATAGTTGCTTCCAGAAATATAAAAAAGATGTATTTATTTATTTATTTATTTAAACATATGAGGCTGGAAATATTTAAAATATTAAATTCAGTTTTTAAGTTAGCTTCTTTTTTTTTGGGTCAAATAGCTCTTGTGAAAGTCAAGACTCCGGGCTTTTAAAACTCACACTAAAGTAACCACT